GAGCAACATCTAGCTTCAACAGAAGGTAGAAACGAAGAGTACAAAGTAATGATTAAAATGATTCAGGAGGGAGCCTCATTCGACGAGTGGAACCCGGTTCATTTAACAAAAGCTATAAACAAGTTGGTTGGCAATGTGAAAAGTGCACGAGTAATGAGAAATGGAGCACTGATGGTTTTTTGCAGGGACACTGATCAGCAAAGGAAGGCTGTTCTGCTTAACAAAATTGAAGATAGTGCGATATGTTATGGAATGAAGGGTTACTTGTCAGTAGAACAAGTCAAGGAAAATGTGGAAGGAGCACAGGTAGCCGAGGCACAACGCTTGAAAACAACACGTAATGTTGAAAGATGTGACAGCTTGTCTGTTATGATTGTTTTTGATGAGGAAAGTCTACCATCTAAAGTATATATAGGTTATATGTGCTACGATGTCAAACATTATGTTCCCCCACCTCTGAGGTGCTTTAAGTGTCAAAAATATGGACATGTAGCAGCTGTATGTAAGGGCAAACGAAGGTGTGGAAGATGCGGTGGTGAACATGAGTACGGGAAATGCGTAAATGGAGCTAAGCTAAAATGCTGTAACTGTGGAGGAGAACACAGCTCGGCCTACAGGGGATGCGAGGCTAGTAAGAGAGCTGTAGAAATACAGAGAATTAAAACATCAGAAGGGATAACATACGCTGAAGCAACCAACAGAGTAGGTTGGCAACCAGACAGACCAAACAATAAACAAGCTAGTGCAGAATGTAAAAAGTCAAGAACATGTGACGGGTGTGACAAAATCAAGGAAGACACTATGATGGTGGGGGAAAAATGAGTTTGTTTTTTTTATGGTCGAAGTGGTAAATTGCTCTATGCAAACAGAGAAGAAAACAGAAAAAATCTAAATAATTGTTGAAGCAGCAGAAAAGTACTTGGGAATCAAGGGGTTAGTGTGGGAGGAGGTTGAGGAACAATTAAGTGGAGGAACACCAAGCTCACAAGCACTGTCATGGGGTGGTGGATCTTCATGATCCTAACTATACTGCAATGGAATGCAAGAAGTCTAATTGCTAATGGACAGGAATTTAAGCATTTTATCTCAAACCTCCAAGATAAACCCAATATTACATGCATACAGGAAACATGGCTAAAACCACAATGGGACTTTGTAATTCAGGGTTACACAGCAATTAGGAATGATAGGGTGAATGGAAAAGGTGGTGGGGTAGCAACGTTTGTGCTAAATGGGACAAGGTTTAGTTTGATGAGTGTAGGAAAAGAGCATGAAGCAATAGTAGTCAAAAGCTGAACTAACAATAATTAATTATTATAACCCTTGCAATAGATTAAATATAGACACATTGAATACTGTGGGTGGGCAAACACGGGATAAAGTGGTCTGGTGCGGTGATTTTAATGCACATAGTACACTGTGGGGAAGTAAAAAGACAGATACTAATGGATTAATCATAGAGCAATTAATTGTGGATAAGGGATTAGTTTGCATGAATGATGAAGTGGCACCAGATATAACAGTGTTCAAAATACAGAAAGTGCAATTGACTTAACATTAGTATATCAGGGAGTAGCAGGCATTTCAGATAATTTATTAGTCGAAGCCAGAAAGTGCAGAGACAACACTCTTGCCATGAACCCAGGTGTCAATATACAGAAGAGCACAACAACTGATGATTTAGATGTACCATTTAGCTTATTTGAGTTAAGGAGGGCTATCTCAAAGACAAGACAATCATCTCCAGGGAAGGACAACATCTGTTATAGCATGTTAGCTCACTGGAAGATAGTGCACTTCCTGTAGTTTTAAGATTATTTAACCAGATTTGGGAAACAGGCAAAATACCAATAGCATGGAAACAATCAATCATAGTATCAATAGTAAAAGCTGGGAAAGATCCATCAGACCCCTCAAGTTATAGACCAATAGCACTCACGTCACAGTTGGGGAAAACCATGGAACATATGATAACAGACAGATTAACATTCTCTATAGAAAGCAGAGATCTGTACTCACCAGATCAAAGTGGGTTTCGCAAAGGGAGAAATACAATGGACTCTATTTTATGTTTGGAATCTGAAATCAAAAAAGCTCAGACAAATGGGGAGGTTGTGGTAGCTGTCTTTTTTGATATTGAAAAAGCATATGGAAGGAAGTTATGGAAGGAAGGGTTACTTATCAAATTAAATAAATTAGGTGTAGGTGGTAGACTGTACAACTGGGTGTCGGACTTTTTATTTGGCAGGGCAATAGAGGTCAGGGTGGGCATAGAATGTGCAAGACTCTATAAAGTTGAAAATGGTGCTCCACAAGGCAGTGTGTGTAGTCCAGTACTATTTAACATCAAGATCAATGATATTTTTGAAAAAGTGGAAAGAAGTATTGGGAAGTCCTTGTATGCAGACGATGGCACCCTATGAATAAGAGGACGGAATTTGAAATTTATTCAGAAAAAATTACAGGCAGCAATTGTGGAGGTGGACAGTGGGCAAATAACTGGGGTTTTAAGGTGTCGGGTGCAAAGACACAAGTGATATATTTTTCCAGGAGTCATAAAGAAGTGTCCTTAAAATTATATGATCAAACCCTTGAAGAAGTAAAAGTTATCAGACTGTTAGGAGTGTTGTTTGATGAAAAGTTGACCTGGAAACAGCACACTGATAAGGTCAAAGAGAAATGCAAAAAAATCAATAACCTTTTATAAGATGTCTGTCAGGAAGGGACTGGGGGGCCACTACAACATCATTGCTTAAAATATATCAGACCTTGATGAGATCTACACTAGATTATGGATGTATAGCATATATGTCAGGAGCAGAATGGCATCTTAAAAAACTAGATGTGGAACAGGCACAAGCGTTAAGGACATGCAGTGGAGCATTTAAGACCTCTCCAGTGGCTGCCATGCAAGTGGAAATGGGGGAACAGCCACTAAGAATAAGAAGAACAAGAATTATGCTAACATACTGGGCTAATCTTCAGGGACACTGTAGCTCTCACCCCGCGCTAAAGCCAGCCTAGAAGAATGTTGGGAACACAATAAAAGTAGCTGTTTCAGTTTTGGATGGGTGGGAAATGCAAAAGCGGAAAGTCTTGGCCTGTGCAGTATAAAATATATCCCAGTAGTCCCATATCCAGATCTTCCTCCGTGGTTTTTTGTAAATCCATCCATTGACCTGCATGTACAGCAAATAATCAAAAAGAAACCCAAGCAAGCACACACGGGAAGAATAGCAGAAAGTTACATAGAGCAGCACTATAGAGATAACCACATGGTCTTTACTGATGGCTCTAAAGATCCAGAGACCGGACGGACAGGAGCTGCCATATACATCCCAGCATACAAACTAGGCATTAAAAAGAGATCATCTGTCAGTATATACAGTTGAGCTTATGGCCATTTTGATGGCATTACAGTGGATAGAAGAAAATAAGGAAAGCAAGGTGGTCATTGCATCAGATAGCTGGGCAGCGCTCACCAGTATTAAATCTGTTAAGTCCTGTAGGCTGGATCTGGTATTTAGTATTCATAGCTCTCTATGTAGATTATATCATAAGGGCTGGACTGTCTGCTTTGTTTGGGTTCCTGCCCATGTAGGGGTAGAAGGAAATGAAGACGCTGATATTCTGGCAAAACAAGCACTTAAATCAAAGTCAGTTGATATACAAGTTCTGCAAGTAAATCTGAAGCTAAAACAGTCATTAAAGAGAAAATGCAAAAGACTTGAACCCAGATCCCTGCTTGAGGATGAGAACAGGTGAATGAAACATACAAACATTTGGATGACCTTGGGTAAATCCAGTAAGCTAAAATAAATGACTTGAAATGAACTGTGTATGTGTTGTATTTATCCAATCATGATTTCAACTCTTCTGACTAGTACTTAAATGAACTGAAATGAAATGACTTGAAATGACATGAAATGACAAGCCATGTGTCCATTGATGCTAGCCCATATGCTAAAGGTAATGCTAATGCTAAAAGTCCTATGCTAATGTTCAGCTAAGGTTAGCTCAGCATGCTAAGACCAATGCTACCGCTGGCTTAAATGAAGGCATGGGGTAGCCCCATGACACGTACTTTAATCACTTTTGTAATGTAGTTATGCATGATACTTTTAATGTATTTTTCTTGCAGTACTTGTTGAAGCACTGTTCTGATGTACATTTACATTGAAGTCTAACTACGGTGTTGATTAATGTGAACTGTCCCTGTTAAATTAAATAAAAAATACCACTTTGATACGGCAGCTAACAGAATACAGTGAGTGAACTCAGGTAACTCAGCAAAGGCTGCACCAAAGCAACAAAGACTGACGATACTATAAAGGAGAGAGACATTTCCTTCAGACAGGGACAAGGCCAAAAGGATTACCAAGATTAAATTCAAAGCTGTGGTAGAGAATTACAGGTTTATACAGTCTTTTGGAGTCACGGTGCGCCCTACCCTCTGGATATTTCAGACACTGTCCTACTAGAGCTTTACAACAAGGCCTGTGACCACCTATGATGTGTTTTATCAGATGAGATGACAGCTATTATTCAACTGTCAAGCATACAGGTATCAGATCAGGACTCTGTGTGGACAGATACGTCATATTAAAAGACTGAGCAAAGCACCTGTAGGGGATAAAAGAACCTGATCAGGACGTCCCTAATGAAATGTCCTCCATGTTCCCAGAATAGAGAGCAGGTCTTCAGGTAGGCTTCCTTCTAGTGGGACCTGCCTCGGTCTCACAATGGTGTGAAGAACTGAAAGTGGACATTCAGGAAACATTTCTCTGAGGCAGAGCTGCTCTGGATGCACAAATAATCTCACTGGCTGAACTGAACTTTGGTAGACAGCCAATCTCTAAAAAGGGGATTCTCTGGCCCCGCCCACTGAAGTCCAACTCAACCAATGAGATTCTTTGCGTCTCCAGAGCAGAAATGTTTGAGGAACTAAAAGCACAATCAGCTTGATGTTGAGGAGAAGGGCTGTGCAGCAGAGAGGCTGTTTAGTTTCTTCATTCTACTGCAGTGGAAGAACATTGCTCATCTGCTGTCTGTCTGGCTTTAACAACTCCAAAGACATGTTGCTTTACCTCTTTTTACTTTGCTCTCACTTCATAGGTGAGTGTTGGAACACAGATGAAAGGCTCATTAACCTGCTGGATTAACCAGATATTTGGTCTACATTTCAGAACTAGAGGTTTCTCTGTGGAAGGGAACAACTTCCATGATAGAAACAGACATTTGGTTTATTGAATGAATCCAGAAAGTCAAGAACCTCCGTTGAGTCTCTTGATGTTAGAATCTCTTGCAGACTAACTGACATGAATGACTCATTTTGCAGCCCTGGGTTCCATGAACAGCATAATGCCAGAAAGTCCTGAAGAACATGTTGCAGAGGGAGGAAACATCAACCTGACCTGTAAATATGAGGGTGCTATCTACAGTATCCAGTGGTACCGACAATACCAGAGATCCAGACCAGAGTTCCTGCTCTACATCACAGAGAGTGGATCGATTCATTCAGCTGGTTCTGTTTTCTCAGCTCACATTAATAAAGAAGAGAAACGTGTGAATCTGGAGATCATCTCAGCTAAAGTGACAGACTCTGCTGTGTACTACTGTGCTCTGCAGCCCACAGTGACAGGAAACACCAAAACTCTGTACAAAAACCTTTGGAGCAAAGACAACAGAATACTCCACAACGTCCACTAGAGGGAGTCACACACTGTTAAACTTCAGTGGTTTATGATCTGAATTTGTGGTGCTGGTGATTAAACAAAACAAAACAATGCAGCAGCAGCATGTGGAAGATACTACAAGTTCTGAAATGTTATTTTAAATCAATTCCGACAAAGGATGATAATGATGTTGGATGGTGTTTATATAAAGAGAGACTATCAGCAGCCTAATAGCTGAGAGTTCTCAACCAAGGAAGTCCTTTCTCTCCACTGCTGTTTGATCCTTAAGGAGTAAATAATTAAAATGTCCATTCTGTAAAAACACATGATGTCAAGGCTCTGACTCAGCATCTGTCAGGGTCGTTGCACAAATTCTGTAAGCAGTCCCTGTGCCCCACCCCCATTACCCACTGCCCCCACCCCCCAAAACCCCCCTCCAACACACGTCATCCGAAATGTCAACACATTTCAACCTTTTTTCAACATTTACTTCTATGCAATGACTATAATTGCTAAATGCTTTCACCCCCCACTACGATGCCCTTGGTCAAATATACAGGATCCAATCTGGAGATTAAAACATTTGTAAACCAATGATGGTCCATTAAATTGTTTACAGAACAGAACAGAATTCATGGATGACCAAGTAATGATCAAGCATGAAACAATAAAAGGAAAATTTGACATATGCAAACAATCTTCCTGTCTGGAGCTTAACATCTAGTTTACTCAATTTAAGACCTCTCATGATATGATTTGTCCTAAAATGTGACACAAATGTAATAATGTGAATAGTACTGTTTGAGTAATGTATTGAATAAGTAATTAATGTGGCTGTCATGTGTAATTGAATAGTTGTATATCGTCTGTCTAAAGATTGACCTCAGTCAGGACCTTCACATGTTCTGTCAAGAGTCAACCAGTTTTACCTTATCAGCTTCTTGTTAACTGATGGAAATGATGTCATGTAGTGAATTACAGAACCACAGCAGAGACAAACTCACTATTTGTCAGAGTTGTGAGAGGAAGGAGTGAGGGATTAAGGGAGGAGCAAAACTGGGACTCAAGGACAGAAAAGACAACAGATGATGAAGAGGAAGGGCCAATGATGTGAAGGTCCAGATGTTTCTTGTTGCCCAGGTGTTGCCTTTTAGGTTGATTGTCCAAACATTAAATAGCTGCATGACTCGTGTATAGGGAATTCCAAACATATTGCATGTAACCCTGGACTCAGGGAGACTCATCTGTGATGTGGCACTGAATCTGTGTAAACGTAACAGTTCATATCTCTGTTCTCTGTGGTATCCAGACTTCAGGGACAATGTGTCTCTGTAGGATGATGTGATTGACCCTAAAGCTGGATAAATAACAGGCTCACTCAGCTCTCCTCACTCATTCCAGCATACATGTACACGGCGTATGTGTGTTGCTGTGAGTCCTTCTGCAGAAGACTTGAATAAGATTCACAGAAAGACAAGTGTTGTTGTCAGAGCTGAAGGTGAAAACCGTACAGCCAGAGTCTGGGACTCTGGGACTTCAGACCTCCCCTCCAAAATACGGGTGAGACGTTGAGGGCCTGACGCCTGAGTGTCTGAGGCTCCCTCACCGCTGTGATCCACAAAGAACCTGGTGGCAGGCAACACTCATAACAACACTACCTCTCAGGGTGAGCGTGACAGACGTGTCAGCAGGGCAGGCCTGGGGCCGCTGTGTGAATCGGCAAAGCTTTGTGTTAAAGGTACTATAGTCAAGAAATCACTGGGGGGCAGTGGATTTCTTATAGGTCTGGGACCTACTGTTGCATCAGTTCTTTTGGGTCTGGGACCCACAGTAGAGGAGTGTGAGTCATAGGACTCACTATAAAATTTACTATTTACTTAAGGCTGCTATTCTAGGTGAATGCAAAGTAAATACACAGTATTGTTGAATGTGTTTACTACAGATGTATGACTGAACTGTGAATGAAAAAAAAAATTGAGTGAGAATTGAAAACAGCCTTGTGGGAATGAATTGCGACTGAGAAAAAAAACAACAACAACTAATAGACCGTGTGAATGTTGAACAAAGGCTTTCTGTAAACAGGATAGAATTTCCTCAGACTACTAGCTTTGTTAAAATTTAATAGAAACATGTAAGAAATTAGAGAAAATATATCTATGAAGATTTTCAGTCATCCAGGTCATGGTTATCCAACGAAGGTTAAAATCAAGGGCAACTGGACTTGGTTGAAGATACTGGAAGACGTTTCGTCCCTCATCCAAAGGACTTCTTCAGTTCATGAGGTCATGAGAACACTGCACCACAGAGCGGAAAACATACCAACAAGCGCCCAGAACCACCTGAAGGGGGCACTTACAGCCTGTGGATACCCTAAATGGACCTTTGTGAAAACAGCCACAAGATCCAAGAAGAACAAAACTACAGGGGAGGAAAAGAAGGTCAAACGCAACAACATTGTGATTCCGTACGTGTCTGGAGTATCAGAGAAACTCAGGAGGATTTTCAACAAACATAAGATCCCTGTGTTTTTTAAACCCAAGAACACACTAAGACAGATGCTGGTCCACCCCAAAGACCGCACACCCAAACACAAGAAAAGCAATCTAGTATATGCGGTCCAGTGCAGTGAGGATTGCACAGACCTGTATATTGGGGAGACTAAACAACCACTACACAAACGCATGGCTCAACACAGAAGGGCCAACTCCTCAGGTCAAGACTCTGCAGTCTACTTACATCTGAAGGACAGAGGACACTCGTTTGAGGACCACCAGGTGCACATTTTAGACAGAGAAGATGGATGGTTTGAAAGAGGCGTCAAGGAAGCATCTACACCAGGGTTGAGAAGCCGTCATTGAACAGGGGAGGGGGTCTACGCCACCACTTATCCCCCACTTACAATGCTGTCCTTTCATCACTTCCCAGGAAACTCAACAAACGTAACCTATTGGCCTCAGGTGAAGATACCAACGATGGTCGTTCAGTCTTGGCCACAGGTAGCCTTAACGACTGTCGTCACAGCAACAAGGAACACTAACAAACCAGCGGTATCGACGATCCTGGCAAACGACCCCACTGAGGTTAAATAGCTGAGTTTCCCTGCCGGTCAGTCAGAACTGAAGAAGTCCTTTGGATGAGGGACGAAACGTCTTCCAGTATCTTCAACCAAGTCCAGTTGCCCTTGATTTTAACCTTCGTTGGATAACTATGACCTGGATGACTGAAAATCTTCATAGATATATTTTCTCTAATTTCTTAGAGTGAAGTCTGTGTGAGCATCTTGATATGCCACACCTGTGAGGTGGATGGACTAGCCTGGAACATCCATGTGGACAGTCTCTGTAGCAGATTACAACAACGACTGCACTTCCTGTGTCAACTTGGACTTCATGCTTTTGATCAAAATGTTCGTTAGTCTTTTAGAAACTCATCAGATACATATTCAAATACAATAATCATAGCAGCTGGTTCATTACATGTGTTGTATTTTGTCCTGCATACCTTAAACAGCACTTAATACCTTATTGCTCGACATACTCACTTAGACACCTCCAATGTCCAACAAATTTTACGGTACCAAGGTCGTTTTCTGTAGCTGGTAGGAGAGCATTTCAATATAAGGCCCCTCAAGACTGGAATAACCTTCCTCTTTTCCTGAGATCTATTTCCACATTAGACATGGTCACTTTTTTCTTTTCTTGAAACTACATGCTCTTGTTATTAAGAATACCAACGGTATTACATATAAATGGTTTATGTAGAAAATATATTAGTATGTATATGAACATGACTCTTTCTGTCTTCATTCTCTTTATCTTGATTTTCTTTGGACATTCCTATGTGAGGTGTGACGTTATCCTGCATGTTACATTTTGTCATAAGGTGTATTGATAAATGACGTATTGGTTGTTTAATGCACTCAGCTGATTATTTGTCAATATACTTTAATATATGTGCTATGTTAATTGTGGGGGTAAGGGCAGGTGAGCGAGTTTTTGTTTTGTATGTATGTCTGTGTTTGTATTGTGTTTTTATATGTGTGGTTAATTTAGTGTCTATGCATGTATGCTACAGGACCACTTGAAATCAAACTTTGCTAAGATGCTCACTGATGTTCGGCATAAATACTCTGGATACAAGATTCTGTAGTGAGGTTTTGTTCAGTTATCAGCTGACTTAAATTGAGTCCTTCTTGTGTTTGCAGACATGATCCATCCTTTGAACTATGCTTATAGTTTAAAATTTAAAAGAAAAAAACCCTTTCAGCTCGAATAACCTGCTGCTACCAGTCTGTTAACAGGAGGAAGTGAAACTGAGAGAAGTGAAAATCCAGAGCTGCGAGGAGACGGAGAGATTGAGGGAGGAGCTAAGCTGTTAGTGAACTATAGAAGAGAGAGGAACTTCCATATTCAGCAGAGTTCAATACACAAAGCAGAAACATTCCCTTTATTCAACATGCTGTCATTGGACTATTATGTACTTTCTCTACTGTTACTATCCATTCTAACAGGTATGTGAGATCCTGCTGAGAAAGTTTCATTACTAACTTTTCTGGATGGGATTCATTTGTTGAGTCTTTTACAACATGAAATAACAGAGTTATCTCTTCCTTCAGGTGTCAGCTGTGAAGAACTCACTGCAGTCAGGAATGAAGAGTTCACTTTAGAAGGCAGCTCTGTTACTCTGTCCTACACATACTCTAAACAAGCAACTGGTAGTGATCAATTCTTCTGGTATCGACAATATCCAGGAAAACCACCAGAGTTCCTCATCTTTCACTTGGGAACACAAAATGCAACAAACTCTAGATGGTCTGCTAAAGTGAGTGATGATAAAACCCATCTGGATCTGCAGATCTCCTCTGCTGCAGTGACAGACTCTGCTGTGTACTACTGTGCTGTGAGGCCCACAGTGACAGGAAACACCAAAACTCTGTACAAAAACCTTTGGAGCAAAGACAACAGAATACTCCACAACGTCCACTAGAGGGAGTCTCACACTGTTAAACTTCAGTGTGATGATGAAGTCTTACATTACTTATATTCTACATGAATCAATGAAATATTTGTAATATCTTATAGGTATAAAACATTTTAACAACACTTAGCAGGAAGCCTTTCATTAGGAGGGGATGTCTCTGAATGATCTTCCTCGAGGGTTTTTCAATCATGATTTTTAAACCTATAGGCAAAGGGAACATACAGAGATAATATCTTTGTGTCACAGTAAGTTCAATTGGGCAAAGAGGAACACGAGGGAGTGGACCAGACCCAGAACCAGAGGCATGGCAGGTTCAGTTTTATGGTTTTCAAAATAAAAGAGTACACTGACTTACAGCAAGCTGAGGCAGGCCAAGGTCCACACAGGCAGACACATAGCAAACACATCCAAAGGAAGCAGCAATAAACCAAATCTAAACGGTCTAATACATCAGGCCAAAAATCCAAAACCCTGGGAAATGGCTAGAAAGCTTGACATATAGACAAAGACAAGGCAGGCGCACAGACTAAACACACAAGTGAGGGGAGATTAAGTAGACACAGGTGAAACTAATTAGGACAGGGCAGCCAATCAAACGGGCGGGAAAACACGAGGGCAGGAAATAAAGTAAGACAAGACACAGGAGATACAACATAAAATAGAAAATAACAACATCAAAACCCAAACCATGACACCATGTCAATAATATGGAGTCTCAAAACACATTGTGATTGGTTTATGGAATAGACGATAACTGACTGATGAACTCAGCATCCGGCTGTGAGCTCTATTTTCTTTAAGTTAATCACAAGTGCTTTCACTTTGGCTGACTTATAGAAAAGAAAATCAGAAAGAAAGAAAAGCATAATTGCAGAGAATTAAAAACACCAGTATATATAAATATGTCTCGGTAACACTTTATTTGAAGGTGCTTGTAATAAGCAGTAATTAACAGTTAATAAGCAGCAATTAAAAAATAATCAAACACTTTATAAAGATGTTATAACACAAATAAGTGTTAACTAAAGCACAATTAACTCATTTATTATTGTATTATTATTATGCAGCTATAAAATAAGGCGAGTAGTTTAAGCTAACGTTAGCATGCAGCTATAAAATAAGTCGAGTAGTTTAAGCTAACGTTAGCATGCAGCTATAAAATAAGGCATGTCGTTTAAGCTAACTTTAGCATGCAGCTATAAATAAGGCATGTAGTTTAAGCTAACGTTAGCATGCAGCTATAAAACAAGACATGTCGTTTAAGCTAACTTTAGCATGCAGCTATAAAATAAGGCATGTAGTTTAAAATAAGGCATGTAGTTTAAGCTAACTTTAGCATGCAGCTATAAAATAAGGCATGTAGTTTAAGCTAACGTTAGCATGCAGCTATAAAACAAGGCATGTAGTTTAAAATAAGGCATGTCCTTTAAGCTAACTTTAGCATGCAGCTATAAAATAAGGCATGTCGTTTAAGCTAACATTAGCATGAAGCTATAAAATAAGGCATGTAGTTTAAGCTAACATAAGCATGCAGATATAAAATAAGGCATGTTGTTTAAGCTAACTTTAGCGTGCAGCTATAAAATAAGGCGTGTAGTTTAAGCCAACTTCAGCATGCAGCTATAAAATAAGACGAGTTGTTCAAGCTAACTTTAGCATGCAGCTATAAAATAAGACGAGTTGTTCAAGCTAACTTTAGCATGCAGCAATAAAATAAGGTATGTCGTTTAAAATAAAGCATGTAGATTAATCTAACTTTAGCATGCAGCTACAAAATAAGGCATGCCATTTAAGCTAACTTTAGCATGCAACTTTAAAATAAAGCATGTAGATTAAGCTAACTTTAGCATGCAGCTATAAAATAAGGCATGTACTTTAAGCTAACTTTAGCATGCAACTATAAAATAAGCCGTGTAGTTTAAGCTAACTTCAGCATGCAGCTATAAAATAAGGCATGTAGTTTAAGCTAACATTAGCATGCAGATATAAAATAAGGCATGTCGTTTAAGCTAACTTTAGCATGCAGCTATAAAATAAGATGAGAGGTTTAAGCTAACATTAGCATGCAGCTATAAAATAAGGCATGTCGTTTAAAATAAAGCATGTAGATTAAGCTAACTTTAGCATGCAGCTATAAAATAAGGTGTGTAGTTTAAGCTAACTTTAGCATGCAGCTATAAAATAAGGCATGTACTTTAAGCTAACTTTAGCATGCAGCTATAAAATAAGGTGTGTAGTTTAAGCTAACTTTAGCATGCAGCTATAAAATAAGGCATGTAGTTTAAGCTAACTTTAGCATGCAGCCATAAAATAAGACGAGAGGTTTAAGCTAACATTAGCACGCAGATATAAAATAAGGCATGTAGTTTAAGCTAATGTTAGCATGCAGCTATAAAACAAGACATGTCGTTTAAGCTAACTTTAGCATGCAGCTATAAAATAAGGCATGTAGTTTAAAATAAGGCATGTCCTTTAAGCTAACTTTAGCATGCAGCTATAAAATAAGGCATGTCGTTTAAGCTAACATTAGCATGCAGCTATAAAATAAGGCATGTACTTTAAGCTAACTTTAGCATGCAACTATAAAATAAGCCGTGTAGTTTAAGCTAACTTCAGCATGCAGCTATAAAATAAGGCATGTACTTTAAGCTAACATTAGCACGCAGATATAAAATAAGGCATGTAGTTTAAGCTAACTTTAGCACGCAGATATAAAATAAGATGAGAGGTTTAAGCTAACATTAGCATGCAGCTATGAAATAAGGCATGTAGATTAAAATAAGGCATGTAGTTTAAGCTAACATTAGCATGCAGCTATAAAATAAGGCATGTCGTGTAAGCTAACATTAGCGCTTGGATTTTTAGAACAGCTTGAATAATGTCTTAGGGTGTTTTCTCTCAACCTGGACATTAGAAATTGGTCCAAGAGATGGCTGCAATGGCAGCGTGAAACAAGCTACAATGAAACATTAATATGCCGCTGCACACCTTCAGTTTCCATCCATAACGTGCTTGTTTTGCCACTGACACGCTCAGATAATTATTCTTATTGTCTGACAACATTATGGAAAGGATCCCAGCTGAGGTCAAGCTTTTGTTAAAGAGTAAGATCCGTTTTGTTTTAACATGAAACATCCCTGAAATCGCCAAACCCACCAGACTCTTTTCAAATTAAATGTCATTTTATCTTCATAAAATACACATTTAAAGTCGACAGGAACAAGATAAAACCTTCACCAACCATCTTAGTTGTCTAAGAAAATAAGAAATGTACTGAAGTATAAAGGGTAGCTGTATTAGGAGTGCAAATTACAATGTGATGTCCAATCTCGCATTCATGAGGTATATATAACTTATAGCTCTAATAAAGGCCTATAATTGTCTTATAAGCAATAATTAATCAATTAATAGTTTATTAGGCTTTAATTAACACTTATATTGTTGTTTATAAGCATCCTATAAGTGTCTTATTAACTGTTAATTACTGCCTGTTACAAGCACCTTAAAATAAAGTGTTACCTACGTCTCATTTACAGAAAATAAAGCAAAAACTTTCACATCCTGTAGAATTTACTGGTAAGGTAGGAAGTGAAACTGAGAGAAAATCCAGAGCTGCGAGGAGACGGAGAGATTGAGGGAGGAGCTAAGCTGTTAGTGAACTATAGAAGAGAGAGAAACTTCCATATTCAGCAGAGTTCAATACACAAAGCAGAAACATTCCCTTTATTCAACATGCTGTCATTGGACTATTATGTACTTTCTCTACTGTTACTATCCATTCTAACAGGTATGTGAGATCCTGCTGAGAAAGTTTCATTACTAACTTTTATGGATGGGATTCATTTGTTGAGTCTTTTACAACATGAAATAACAGAGCTATCTCTTCCTTCAGGTGTCAGCTGTGAAGAACTCACTGCAGTCAGGAATGAAGAGTTCACTTTAGAAGGCAGCTCTGTTACTCTGTCCTACACATACTCTAAACAAGCTGATGGCACTGATTATTTCTTCTGGTATCTACAGCATCCAGGAAAACCACCACAATTCCTCATCTTTCACTTGGGAACACAAAATGCAACAAAGTCTAGATGGTCTGCTAAAGTGAGTGATGATAAAACCCATCTGGATCTGCAGATCTCCTCTGCTGCAGTGACAGACTCTGCTGTGTACTACTGTGCTGTGAAGCCCACAGTGACAGGAAACACCAAAACTCTGTACAAAAACCTTTGGAGCAAAGACAACAGAATACTCCACAACGTCCACTAGAGGGAGTCACACACTGTTAAACTTCAGTTTATCATACAGTCTGGATTCATTGCACTGATAATAAAAACTAAGAAAAATTAGACATAAACATTAAAAAAAATGATTTAGAGTGTTTATATCTCTGACACACTGATGATGATGATAATAAGGAGAGTGATGTAAACTATGTAGATAAAATTTTGTTTACATTTATATTCATTTGAGTACCTGATGTTGTTAACACACCAACTTATTTGCCACTTGAAGAATAAAGACAATACAAATACAAATCTCCCTGAACTTCCTGTCCTGAGGTTTCCATCAGTTTTCCTCCATGTTAAGGCAGGACAGTATGGGGAGTCTTCACTGATGATGCTGGATGTAAAACCCAGTGAGACTCTGTATGTGATACTGGACTGTACTCAGAAACTAGACCTGATCTCAGCATCCAGATGTGGGTTTTGTTAGTCTGAAGGAATATTCCAGTGAAAATGTCTCGTTTCACTATCAAATCCTCTCCACCTGTAAGCTTGAAAGGTGACTCACAGTTTGCAGCATCACTTTGTTAATTGCTGCTGTAAATCCACAACTTCAGAGATGTGGGGAGGTGATAACGCAGCACAGAAGTAGAGTCTTTAACTATGTTGAGTTTGGAAAATGCTGAACAAACAGATCATCAGCTGACAACTGGATTATGCTGCTGGACTAGTCTGAAGTTTCAGTGGCATCTTTTCTTCTTCTGTGGTCTGATTCTGATTGGCCACTAGATGACACTGTAGCTGCTGTTAATCCAAGCTGAGCCACATTATCAAGTAGGCGGTGCACTACTTCTGCACTGTGTTCAACCATTCTGTCAATAATAACTGCTGCTGTGAAGAGAACAATTCTCAGACTGAATGTTGAACATCAGCTAGTTTCTCCTGTTGATTTAAACCTTGTTGTAGAGATGGAACATTGGCTGGGGATTATTCTTGCTGCTCTTTTCTTTGGTAAGATAGAAAGCACAACATCTTTTTATTCTTTTCTAAAGATTTATGGAAACAGCTGAGCTGTTTGTGTCCACAGAGTAACACTGTACAGCTGCCATTTTCCACTGTCTTCTCCTCTCAGCCTCATGAACAATGTTAGTCTAATGGCTTCATTTGCTCTACTTTTTCCAGGACTAATAGCTGGAGACACAATCTCTCCTGTACGAGAGGAAGTCAGTGAAAGAGAAGGACAATCTGTCACACTCACATGCAACTATCAGACAGCTGCTACAGTCTTGCCTTTACTGGTACAAACATCATTCTGACCTTCAGGCACCTCAGTTTATACTCTTGAAAGGAGCAAAATCGTACACAGGTGAACATATTCCTGATAGAAGATATGAATCTGAAACATCAGCAACATCAACTACACTGACCATCAGAGATCTAACCCTGGCAGACACAGCTCTCTACTACTGTGCTCTAGAAACACAGTGATACAAAGTGTAGAAGAGGCTGTACAAAAACCTGAACCCAGATATCTGACTACTCTTCAAAGAGGAGGGAAGTGGTATTCAAACCACAGCTTCATATCAGATGGATTCTGCTAATTCCTGTTTTATCAGAGTCACTGTGGTTCCAGCTGCTAATGAAACACTGGGGGAGGATTCACAGGAGCATTATGGGTAGTGGGGATCTGTAAGTTTAACCAGGTTTCGGGCTCCAACAGAAGTTGTGTACAGTTTGCAGATTGGAGCTTTCAGCCAGGTGTTTGTGTCCAGATTCCTTCAGGTGAATTTCCTGCAGATTCCTCCTTCAGTCTGACCTTCTTGGATGATGATGACTGCAGCATCACTGTCATTTCTAAAGCTTCCATCAGCCTGAATGGAAACAGAGCACAGCAAGAGGAGGAGCTCCACAACTGAATATGAAAGGCTTCATGTTGGAAGTGAAGAGCTGCTGTGTTCTCTCTATTGTTCATTCAGTACAAGTGGAAATGATGCAGCTCTGCTTAGTTTGGATGATCATCTTCATGTTTCACACTGGTGAGTGAAATTTAACAGGAGATTTTAAACATGACTCAGGAAACATTTCAGTTTGGCGAATACTCAAGTGTTTCTCTCTCACTTTAAAGAAATATAAATGTCAGAGTGAAATCTCTCTTTGTCTTTTTCAGGATCCTCTGAGGATTTAGTGAAACCATTTAAAGATGTAATGCTGGCTTTGGAAGGAGACTCTGTGACTCTCTCCTGCAACTATTCAGGATCTTTTGACTTCTTCTTCTGGTATCAACAGAAGTCCAGTTCATCTCCACAGTTTTTCCTCTCAGATTATTCAAAGAAACCAGGTTTTTCTTTTGCACATGACAAAACAGCAAAGGAGTTTCATCTGCAGATCTCCTCTGCTGCAGTGACAGACTCTGCTGTGTACTACTGTGCTGTGAGGCCCACAGTGACAGGAAACACCAAAACTCTGTACAAAAACCTTTGGAGCAAAGACAACAGAATACTCCACAACGTCCACTAGAGGGAGTCACACACTGTTAAACTTCAGTGGTTTATGATCTGAATTTGTGGTGCTGGTGATTAAACAAAACAAAACAATGCAGCAGCAGCATGTGGAAGATACTACAAGTTCTGAAATGTTATTTTAAATCAATTCCGACAAAGGATGATAATGATGTTAGATGGTGTTTATATAAAGAGAGACTATCAGCAGCCTAATAGCTGAGAGTTCTCAACCAAGGAAGTCCTTTCTCTCCACTGCTGTTTGATCCTTAAGGAGTAAATAATTAAAATGTCCATTCTGTAAAAACACATGATGTCAAGGCTCTGACTCAGCATCTGTCAGATATACCGGGTCGTTGCACAAATTCTGTAAGCAGTCCCTGTGCCCCACCCCCATTACCCACTGCCCCCACCCCCCAAAACCCCCCTCCAACACACATGTCATCCGAAATGTCAACACATTTCAACCTTTTTTCAACATTTACTTCTATGCAATGACTATAATTGCTAAATGCTTTCACCCCCCACTACGATGCCCTTGGTCAAATATACAGGATCCAATCTGGATTAAAACATTTGTAAACCAATGATGGTCCATTAAATTGTTTACAGAACAGAATTTATGGATGACCAAGTAATGATCAAGCATGAAACAATAGAAGGAAAATTTGACATATGCAAACAATCTTCCTGTCTGGAGCTTAACATCTAGTTTACTCAATTTATTTTGTAAAGACGTCTCATGATATGATTTGTCCGAAAATGTGACAAATGTAATAATGTGAATAGTACTGTTTGAGTAATGTATTGAATAAGTAATTAATGTGGCTGTCATGTGTAATTGAATAGTTGTATATCGTCTGTCTAAAGATTGACCTCAGTCAGGACCTTCACATGTTCTGTCAAGAGTCAACCAGTTTTACCTTATCAGCTTCTTGTTAACTGATGGAAATGATGTCATGTAGTGAATAACAGCACCACAGCAGAGACAAACTCACTATTTGTCAGAGTTGTGAGAGGAAGGAGGGAGGGATTAAGGGAGGAGCAAAACTGGGACTCAAGGTCAGAAAAGACAACAGATGATGAAGAGGAAGGGCCAATGATGTGAAGGCCCAGATCCATCAGAGTATCAATGTTCTTCCTCTCTCTCCTCCCCTCTCACTGCAGACATGAACCACTGGCTGAGAAACATCCTGATTCTGACTCTCTGGCTAGGTAACTCTTTAAACCTACTGATTGTTCTCCTTTAATCAATCATCTTTATTGATCCATCTCTTCCTCTGCATGTTCTCTTCTTCCCCAGAGTGTAAAGGAGAAGACAGAGTGACCCAGCCAGCAGGAGATGTCATTGCTGCTGAAGGAGACACAGTTACACTTGGCTGTACTTTTGAGACGAGTTACTCAGGTCCAGCTTTGTTCTGGTACAAACAGGATGGAGACAACAGCCCCAAATTCATACTGAGCCGCGTTCAACAGGATGATGGGAAAACAGAGGAAGAGTTTAAAGAAAGATTTTCATCCACACTGGATTCCACCTCAAGATCAGTTCCTCTGAAGATCCAGAAGCTTCAGCTGTCTGACTCTGCTGTGTACTACTGTGCTCTGCGGCCCACAGTGACAGGAAACACCAAAACTCTGTACAAAAACCTTTGGAGCAAAGACAACAGAATACTCCACAACGTCCACTAGAGGGAGTCACACACTGTTAAACTTCAGTGTGATGATGAAGTCTGGATTTATTTCAAATTCATGTATTACTGTCAATATACTGTATGTACTGTTGTACTCCAGTATTGGAGAAAAGCATGTTCACAGTTTGAAAGAAGCATGTCTATAAACTGGTTGGCATCACAGACTCTCGTCTTTATAAAAGTATTTTCTCAGTTTTTCTCTCAGGCTGTGATTCTTGTGGTGTACCACAGGGTTCAATCCTAGGTCCTCTCATTTTCTATCTACATGTTGCCTTCTGATCAAATTATTTTTAATACATAACATCATGTTCCATTATTGGAGCAAAGACAACAGAATACTCCACAACGTCCACTAGAGGGAGTCACACTGTTAAACTTCAGTTTATCATACAGTCTGGATTCATTGCACTGATGATGAAAACTAGAAGAAAAATGAGGCATTGACAATAAAAGGAGAGTGTTTGTAGCTCTGACATACTGACAATAAGGAGAGTGATGTTATTTATGTAGATAAGATATTGTTTAAATTCCTGATGATCTTAACACACCGACATCTTGGTCTCCCTGAACTTCCTGTCGTGAGGTTTCCATCAGTTTTCCTCCATGTTAAGGCAGGACAGTATGGGGAGTCTTCACTGATGCTGCTGGATGTAAAACCCAGTGAGACTCTGTATGTGATACTGGACTGTACTCAGAAACTAGACCTGATCTCAGCATCCAGATGTGGGTTTTGTTAGTCTGAAGGAATATTCCAGTGAAAATGTCTCGTTTCACTATCAAATCCTCTCCACCTGTAAGCTTGAAAGGTGACTCAACAGTTTGTAGCATCACTTTGTTAATTGCTGCTGTAAATCCACAACTTCAGAGATGTGGGGAGGTGATAACGCAGCACAGAAGTATAGTCTTTAACTATGTTGAGTTAGGAAAATGCTGAACAAACAGATCATCAGCTGACAACTGGATTATGCTGCTGGACTAGTCTGAAGTTTCAGTGGCATCTTTTCTTCTTCTGTGGTCTGATTCTGATTGGCCACTAGATGACACTGTAGCTGCTGTTAATCCAAGCTGAGCCACATTATCAAGTAGGCGGTGCACTACTTCTGCACTGTGTTCAACCATTCTGTCAATAATAACTGCTGCTGTGAAGAGAACAATTCTCAGACTGAATGTTGAACATCAGCTAGTTTCTCCTGTTGATTTAAACCTTGTTGTAGAGATGGAACATTGGCTGGGGATTATTCTTGCTGCTCTTTTCTTTGGTAAGATAGAAAGCACAACATCTTTTTATTCTTTTCTAAAGATTTATGGAAACAGCTGAGCTGTTTGTGTCCACAGAGTAACACTGTACAGCTGCCATTTTCCACTGTCTTCTCCTCTCAGCCTCATGAACAATGTTAGTCTAATGGCTTCATTTGCTCTACTTTTTCCAGGACTAATAGCTGGAGACACAATCTCTCCTGAACGAGAGGAAGTCAGTGGAAGAGAAGGACAATCTGTCACACTCACATGTAACTATCAGACAACAGCAAGTGGTGTACTGCTTTACTGGTACAAACATCATTCTGACCTTCAGGCACCTCAGTTTATACTCTGGAAAGGAGCACAATCACAGAGTAATTATAAGTATATTCCTAATGAACGATATGGATCTGAAACATCAGCAACATCAACTACACTGACCATCAGAGATCTAACCCTGGCAGACACAGCTCTCTACTACTGTGCTCTAGAAACACAGTGATACAAAGTGTAGAAGAGGCTGTACAAAAACCTGAACCCAGATATCTGACTACTCTTCAAAGAGGAGGGAAGTGGTATTCAAACCACAGCTTCATATCAGATGGATTCTGCTAATTCCTGTTTTATCAGAGTCACTGTGGTTCCAGCTGCTAATGAAACACTGGGGGAGGATTCACAGGAGCAGCAAATCCACATCAGAGAGAAACCACCTGCAGGAGGCTTCAAACACAAGACTCCATGGAAACAAATAAATGGACACTGATTCACTGAATCCTCTTTATACCCTGTGGGTCATTAGGCCACAATGAGCTGCTTCCATTGTTCAACATGATGAGATATTTTTATTTAACCAGGTTTGTAGGATCACAGTTTAACAGCTAAAGAGTTTATTGAGGTGCCATTCGACACGGTCAAAGGCTTTCTGTGCCTCCAGTGAGATAGGCAATACTGGATCATTCATTCTATGTTAAGAAATCTCCTGACGTTATCAGTTGATAATCGCTTTTGTATAAATCCGGTCTGGTCCTTGTAAACCAGTGTAGGAACTATTTTCTTGAGTCTGGCGGCTCTGATTTTCGCAAGCACCTTATATTCAGTTGGCAGAAGGGAAATAGGTCTGTATGACCCACATGAGATGAGGGTCTTTCCCTGGTTTCAACAGAACTGTGATAAGGGCCCTTTCCAGAGTTTGGGGTAGCTGATTGATTTCAAATGCGTGATTAAACATTTCTATGAGGGGATCGAGTAATTTATTTGAAATGCCTTAAAGAAGTCAATTGTAAAGCCATCAGGGCCGGGGGCTTTTCCTCCTGGGAGCCCAGTCAGAGCATCTAGCACCTCTTGTTTGATTATTTTGTCTTCAAGTACCGTCTGAGTTTCTGCTGGCGTCCGTGTAAGATCCAGGCTATCTAAAAAGCGGTCTGTGTCATGATTCTTCTCACCCTGTGATGAGTAAAGTGTTTAGTAGAATTCTGTGAAGGTCTGATTAATGTGTTCGGGCTGCAGACCACATCATTCCCACCGACGGTTTAATAGCCGGGATGTATCACACCGTCCTCCCTTCTAATCTGCCAAGCTAGTAATTTACGTAATAACGTTGTTTCGACCTAGCCATTGCATTCTCCACCTCCCGTGTTGTAAGAGCATTGTATTCAGCCCTTTTGGCGGTTAACTGATCGAGAGTTGTCAGTCTCCAGTGACCTCGTTTTGGATTGACATTGTTTCTTTTTCCAAGAAGAGAGGCTATTTGTAGAGCCCCTGATATAAGCCATTAAGGATTCCCTACCTGCATTTGTGGTGAGAAAGAAATCAATCTGTTCATTAGTTCATTTGATGAAGTCCTCATCACGGACCAAATGAATGGGGAACCTCTAACGTTTGGGTTTTTTGTTTTGGTTCTGCTTGGTCACGTGGAGCAGGAGAGGAGCATCATCTGAGTGTATTTTAGCCAAATATTCGCACGAGGTAACGAGATGCTCCTTCCCTGCGTGCATAACAAATGTCAATCCAGGAGTAACTGTTATGAGTAGAAAGAGTATTCACAAAGAGATTTGTGTCTCACTCTCCACACATCGATTAAATTGATCTAGTTCTTTTTTAAGGGCCTTAGCTGCTGAGGATAAAGATTTAGGAGTTGGAGAGGATCTGTCCTTAGCTGGCTGCAGAACCAGGTTAAA